ATAAGAAAATTAGCACACTAACCTAATGGGCTTTTTTAACAATTACCCATTACAAGCTAACTTAGAGTACAAGCTAACTTAAATAATTAGGCTTACAAGCAAGACCCAATTCAACATGCTAACAACCCTAGCAATTTTGACTAATGCATGTTAGAACAAACTTTGACTATAACACGCATTACTCCGACAGCAACATGCAGACATACTTCGACCTCATGCTTAATTCATGTCAAACCAGAAGCTACCCTTCGACCATACTAGAGTTCAATCCAATATCTCACAAATATCCACCTTGGATCTAACTCTATAAGATTAAGGAACTAGCTTTCTTTAAGCAGTTTTATCAACTACATACAGTGGAAAAACTTGCAACTGGGCAACGTCTTGGTGATCATATCAGCAACAATATGACCTGTTGAAAACTTCAGCACTTGGACTTCTCCACGCTCGATTACCCCTCTGGCGAAATGCAACCTCATATCAATGTGCTTGGTTCACTCATGATAGGCTGAATTCTTCGACAGGTGTATTGCACTTTGACTATCACATTTAATAGTGATAACTCGAACTTGAAGTTTTAACTCCTTTGCAAAACCTTCAAGCCACAATGCTTCCTTCACAGCTTCAGTTAGGGAAATATATTCCGCTTTAGTGGTTGATAAGGCAACGACCTTCTGAAGTGTTGCTTTCCAACTGATTGTTGTCCCAAACATAGTGAACACATATCCAGAAATAGATTTTCTAGAATCCATACAACCTGCATAATTAGAGTCGACATATCCTTCGATTGCTGCTTTACTATCTTCATCCAAGGCTCTACCATAAATTAGGACTCTATTCAGAGACCCATTTATGTACCTTAGAATCCACTTCAATGCTTGCTAGTGAGTCTTGTAAGTTATATGTATGCCTAAGAGGGGGGGGGGGGGGGGGGGGGTGAATTAGGTTCTTAGATATTTTTTCCGGTTTTTTGATGATTCTTGGATTTTACTTTCCTAAGTGCTTCTAGGTGATGAAAGGCAGTAAATGCAGAAAGTAAAGAACACAACGATATATAGTGGTTCCCCTCACAGTCCGAGAGTACTCCACTCCCCTTTCAACATGAAAGAGTATTTTACTATCAATGTTAGATTCCCTATCCAAGACAATTCTAACAACCAAGAACATCCTTCTTGGATTTACACAATTTTAAAGTCCTACCGAGAATGAATATCTCACACAAGGACCTCTTGTATCCACAATCCGGATAACAAGGAAAACCCTACACACTTATCTTTAATAATCCTAAAAATAAGTTGTAGCGAATCTAAATTTTGTATAAGTAACAATTTGAATGTTTATCAATACGAATACTGATCTTCTTCTCAAACAAATAATACTCAGATATGATATACAAGTGTTCTTTTTGTGAAAGAAAGTTGTGAAGGTGTGAAAGTTAATTTCAATGGCTTCTTTCAAAAATCTGGTTTGAACACTTTTATGAAAAATCAAAAGGTTGAAGACAAAGAGTAATTTTGAATTTTTGTTTCTTGAAAGGGTTTTGATTTTGAAATAGAAATCAATTTATACTGGTGAAAAACCTTTCCAAAAAGGTGTGATTTTGGAACAGCAAAAATAGCCAGTAAGAAAATATAGAACAATGCAATCCTTTATGAAAAACTGCTTTTTTGGATGTTGTTACAGTGTTAATCGGTTAATCAAATAGGTTAATTGGCTAACACCTTTCCAACGTTTAAAAACATTTGAATTTTTCATATGTTAATCGGTTAACACTGTTAAAACGTCCCAAAAATATAATTTTGAAATGTGTTAATCGGTTAACCATATGGGTTAATCGATTAACACTGAAGGTTTTTCTAAAAATACTTAATTTAAAATATAAAGAGTATTTTAAAAATGTTTTGAAATACTTAGTGATAGTGGTGTAGTGAAATGTGATTAGAAGAACACTTGTATAAATATTTCTAAGTAAAATATGTTATACCGTTCCTTGTATCATCAACACCACTTGAAGCTTGAGGACGAAGCTTTGATTCATAGCGCCATATGCGACTTTATCTTGATCTTTGATAATGGATTCTTGTCGATTGCTTGCGTCTCTTGCTTTTTGCGAATGTGTACCAAGCTTGTATGAGTTGTCTTCATCAAAACACAAAGGCCTTGAAGCTTGCTTCTACAATCTCCCCCCTTTTTGATGATGACAACCGTGTCTTTGAAAAAATTGCTTTGATACTTGGTTCACAACATTTCTCCCCCTAAGTTGGATCCCCCCCTAAATACAAGAGAGATAGAACTTTTTCTACATATGGAAATGTTAGAAACACAATTCTTCTCCCCCTTTGTCATTAGCAAAAAGGAAGAGGGGCAATGAAAGAAAAAATAGCACACAAGCATTCATAGTAAAAACAACAATCACTTATCACATAAAACATAACTTGATTGAAATTAAAATGAAACAAACATTGTACGAATACAAGAACGAGTACGAAACTGAAATCTTAAAACTTAAACATAATCAAAATTTAGAAAGCAATAAAACAGTAACAAATGTTTTTTTAAATATCATCAGCCGACATTTCCTCATCTTCATCTTCCTCTTCTTCACTACCATCCTCATCTTCATCCTCTTCTTCATTGTAACCGGTGTTGGAGTTTTGAGATTTAAGCACAAGGTTGCGAAGAGAATTAATCGCTCGATTGGTTTCGCGATGAAGGTTCAGGGTTTCTCTGTGTTGATTCATCATTGTGGTGTAGAGAAACTCATTAGTTATGCCTCCTTCCGGAATAGTATAGGATTGGTTTGAAGCGGAAGATCCTTCGTCAGCGTATTTGTAAGTTCCGTTGGTGTCTTTGATAATGCCGGTATTTTTAACAATCGTAATCTCATTGATCTCATTTGCCGTCGATTTCATGGTGATTTTCGATTCGCGGTTCAAATCCAGATTTGTTAACTCAAGTATCCTTGAAATCAGCCGAGCATAAGGAAGCCTTGTGGACAAAGAGAGTTGTTGCTGTAGATGATACATCATCGTTAGAATCCAATTAACCTTAATCTTGTTCTTGATAGCATACAACAGTTGCATCTCCAAGTCATTGATTTGAGAGTAGTTGGAGTCCTTCGGAATTAACACGTAACAAATAATATAATGCAGCATTCTATCATTAACAGTCAGATTCTTCACATAACACAGCATGCGAGCAGTCTTTTGACTCGCAATAACAGCTTCTTTTGGAAACCTGCAAATACGATAATAATACTCCATCTTATCGTAGTAAGCCCATGGACCATCCACATGGTTAATACCTTTTCTGAGAAAACATACTTTGTACGGTATCTCTAAGGTTACAGCAATGTCAGACAAATTTTCATTCAACTAACAATCTCGAACCGTAGCCACCAACATGTGTTGATCATCAACATTGAGAAAAATTGACAACTTATTCATAAACGATTTTACCAAATTAGGGTAACACTTTCCGTTATCAGACACAAACTTATCAATCCTTTGAAATTTCAACAGAGCCGGGAAATCAAACGTAGAAGCAGGAAAAGCGTTGAGATTATCATACTTTACCGGAAATAGATGACGAACCCGGACTTTGAAGTCCATTATGCGCTTCTTCATAGATTCCACACTCTATGAGTTATTCTTATCCAGATTCAATAAATTTATAATATCTATTTTTCTAAAATTGATTTGAAAAAATTCTCTTTCACACACTCTAGAATGACCCTCTCTAATTAGAAGAGGTGAGACACGATTGAGGTAATATATTTAAACATTTCTCTACATCAAAAGAGAACCTAACACCCAACAAATAAAAGATAAAATAATACATTTAGATTCAAATTTGTGGTCAAAGATGTTAACCATTGAACTAAGATTAACAACTTTTATTTGAACTTGACTAAACAACATTTAAAATACTAATTCAATATAAAAATCTTTTAAGTTTGATCTAATAATAGAGATGTGTTACATGCAAATTTGAGCTAGACATACATATTTGTTTTAATCAACATTCAAATTTGATTCACCATATAATAATCACCTATATATCGTTCTCTTAGATCAAATTTTTGTAGATGTATTGTGTAATTTAATATTCTAATCTAAATACATATACACGTTACATTATACTTAATTTCTCAAAAGATAACTCAGCAACAACCTTTATAAAAAGGAATGCTACTATACTTGATTTATTTTAAGGAAATCTGCATGACATGAATTTGAATATTCTTTTCTTCCAGATATTCATTATACAAAAGTCAAAACTCAAGAATATTGCAATATTTAGGTCAACTAATTTTTTGTTGACTTCAACTTTCAAAATTTACTTTTTCTAATTTAGATAGGTATCCTGTGCAACCAAACATGCACACTAATTTTAGAAAATACTCTTATGATTTTATTTATGAAAAAAAATTAATTTTTTAAATTTATTGAATAATCAACGTATTTAACTTATAATACAGTTTAAATATATTGATTATTCAATACCATCTAAAGAATAAATTTTCTCTTATAAATAGGATCAGAGATAATATTATATTATATTTATTTTATTTATAAAAGAAAATTTATTTTTCAAATTTATTAAATAATAAATGTATCTGTTGATTGTTCAATAAACTTAAAAAGTTAATTTTTTTTTAAATAGAAAGAGAAAAAATAATAAATATAAAAACTGCCTTTAAAAATTTAATAATGTTCATAGTTGTGTTGGAATCCAAAACATCTAATTAAAAAATAAATTTTTTTTCATTAAACTTGTTGAATAAAATACTAAATATTCAATATTTAGAAATAGTTGTGAATATAATATATAGTTTAATGCAAGGTTTTCAAACAAGCAATAGTATCATTTTCTTCAATCCTTTCTTTGAATAGCAATGTATAACAATAAAAATTAGAATATATAATATTTGGTTAAGCATATAAAAAATATTATTCATCTTTTTGTAATAATAATATCTGAATTTCTTCAATTCTCTGATGAAGTCTTTTGCAAAATCTCCAACTAGGTGTTTTTTTCTTGTTGATCCAGATGATAATTTCCTCCAAACTCCAAGTAAGAATCACATTTTTCCTTCAATTTCTTTCATTACAAATTCATATGAATTTCTTGTATGGTTATTGCAGACAAAGAAGATTCAAAGAAGAACACAAAAAGAGAAAAAATCAGTTTTGTAAACAGGATTCATGAACATGGTAATTCAAAATTCATATATTGTGGTTGCAGACTTGCATATCCTTATCATTGATTTTGTAGTAGCCATGTGATTGCAGAAATATAAAAAATCTTGCTCACAATGTGTTTGTGTTATTGTCGCAGTGAAATTGGGTCCTAAGTTTTCTGAGACTGTGAAGGGTAAGTTGAGTTTGGGTGCCAAAATTATTCAAGAAGGTGGGAGAAGGAATATTTTCAAGCATGTTTTTGGGTTGCAAGAAGAAGAGAAACTGTTGAAAGCTTCTCAGTGTTATTTATATACCACAGCTGGTCCTATTGCTGGAATTCTCTTTATTTCGACAGTAAAAGTTGCATTTTGCAGTGAAAGGCACATAAGCTTCTCTTCTGCAGATGGGGAATTAGTTAAAGCGCCTTACAAAGTAAGCTTGAATTTTGAAAGCAACTTTGAATTTAAATGATTTAGTGTTTGTTTGATGTTGTGTTACTTTTCCTAAGCGCACGGTGAGTTTCTACGTTGGTGTAGAAGCTTGATTTTGTTGCTTCTGCAAATCACGTTAAATATGGCATTGGATGTGAGATTGTATGAGAAAACGCTGAATCAAACATGCTATTAGTCTCTTTTTCTATTAACTTATTTGAATTTTCTATTGATATAATTACTTGTGATACTGTTTCGAAGATCTTATGTCAACAGTTTATCATATGTCTAATCTGTTTTCAACTTATTTTCATAAGTTTTTGGGATAGCTTATGAAAACTATTTATTGCTCATATGAAAACAATCTAATATTTCATATATTTTGTTAGAGAAAAATCTTATACATAGGTACTTATATGATAAGCACTTGTTTTGAATTGATTTATTTCAACTTACCTACCAACATTAACACTTGTGAGACTGTTTGTGAAGGGTTACAAAAACAACTTATGACATGACCATAAATTGTTTTCTGCTTATTTCAATAAGCTCTTTAGGATGTCGTACAAAAACAATTTATGACCTATATGAAAACAGAGTGCCTTTTTTAATCTTTGTTATAGAAAAAACCTATGTATAAGTACTTACATGATTAGCACTTATTTTATAAATGTTTAACTATGTTGTTTATCAAAACAGAGCCATATGACCTGCTTCCATTGACTTATTTGATCTTATTTTCAAATATAAGTACTTGTAAGACGGTTTGTGACAGCTTCTAGAAACAGCCTATGACATGTCCATAAATGTTTTTCAGCTTATTTCAATAAATTTTCTAGGATATATCTTATGAAAACAACTTATAACTTATACGAAAACAACTTGATTTTTTTATTCTTTTGTTATAAAAAAACTTTTACATGAGCATTTATAGAACAAACAATTATCTATATATATTTTTTCTTCTGATATCTAGGTGGTTTTTGTTATGCAGGTTTTGATACCCATAGAAAAGATAAAAGAGGTGAATGAAAGCATGAACGTGAACAAGTTAGAACAGAAATATATAGAAGTAGTGACTAAAGATGACTCTGAATTTTGGTTCGTGGGATTTTTAAGGTATGAGAAAGCTATTAAGAATCTCAATAAAGCCATTTCCATGACTAATAAATTTTGAAAGGGAAAACCAAACTTTTTAAATTTTATATGTTTTAGAGTTTTTCGCAAAAATTTGATTATATGAGAGGTTTTGTAGAGTGAATGGAATGTTAAGCAACCTTTACCTTTTATCTTATAGTTATTGCATATATTTGATCCCTTGATTCTTGGTGATAAAGAACTGACAACTAAGTTTCATGCCATGGTAAGAGACATCATCTGTAGTATATAGTTTACCACTTCTTTTAGCTTTGTTTGGGTATAAACAACTTAATTAAGTGCTTATAGGAAAATTTGATCAATTTTAACAACATATTGTATGGCATATAGGAATGAATAGTAAAAGCAAGTTAAAGACAAGGACAAATGCTCAACTTGGGTCTGTTGTTTTTCTTGTTGAATGTGCATATCTAAATTCCATTTTAATTCATTAGACTAAAGTGAATGATTGGTTTCACCTTTTGATCTCGATCTCACTTGGCGGTGCCCCTCTATATGATTGTTGACTCATAATTAATATCATGCTTGAGTTGGAGGGCCCTCCCTCCACCCGAGTCAATTAATTTGCTATCAAAAGTTTAGCCGCTGCATATCTCATGCCATGCTTTTTGTTTCTCCAAATTGGTTCCGTCAGTCAGTCAATCAAGATTCCCCATCAAGAGAGAGAAGAGCTTTGACTTTCAGTTAGGCCAGTCTCGTCATTCATGCAATTCCTGCGTCCATTGGTCACACTGCAAGGCTTGATGCTTCTGTATATTGTGTAAGAAATATTCTTGATTGCTGACTGAACTTCTTCATGCCATTGATTGATTGATGTCTTCGTATCTTGTTTAAGAAATATTCCATCAAGTTTAAAGAGATTGAAAGATGCCTAAATTGGATCAATATAATATAACCTAGGTAAGGATGAATGCGAGAGAATGAGACTCGTAGGTAGTATTTGTTACTTGCATCGGTCCTTACACCGACGCCAAATTAAGGCCAACATGGAGCCATGTGCATGATTCCAAGAGTCACTAGAGGCGTAAGAATAACGATTAACGAATGGATGAGGCAAGCATTTTTAGATGGCATCGATCAGAGACAATCAACCCTTTTTCCTGATTATCATCACTTAAATCCCACTAGCCAAAATGGAATCCGTCAAGTAAGAGATAAGCCAAAGATCCCAATCCTTATAATACGTCACCGATCTGAGACGAGATGGGCTTTCTCGCAAAAAATGTTCGAGCATTTCGAATTGATTATGGATGTGTAAAATTGTTTTTAACATATTTGGTTGCTCTCGAGTAAAACTAATTTTGCATTTTATAATTAATTCTATTTGAAATTATGATTTATAGGTTTTGAGTTTAAACGTGATTTTTACACACAATAAAACTTAACGTTTAACACTTTTGCAAGAATTTCTTAAAACATAAATCACATTACCTTCTACTCACTTTTAACCAAAATGAATTTTCCCGAATCAATTCACTTAATCAATTTTTTTCACCACAAAACCAAACACTTGCTAAGAAATTCGTTCTGTGCTTCTATTTATTTTATAAAGAAAATGCACTTAGAGTGAAACTCTTATTATTGAAGTTAAATACAAACATAAAGTAGAGCACTGATCAGTGAGATTATTCCTTCAACATAACCCATATGGTATGCATATATAAGTGCATAACATTTATGATATTCTAGTGAGGTTTCACTTAAGCCCTTTTAAACACAACCCTAAATGATGGAACTTGATCACTAAGAGCTAAGTGCTTAATCCCATTATCATCAACATATAAACCTAACTCCCTACACAAAGTCTGACACTTACAAACTGAAGGACAAAAAGAAAACACATAATCTTTATCAGCTTTCTCAATCTTGAACCAGTTGAAAATTGTATTAATACCTGGATTACCTTCTTCACCCCAAGCACTCAAAAACCACACCCCTGACAAAACTTTAAGAAGCTTCCAAACTTGTGTTTGAGGACATGTAGTTGTTACATAGGATTTAATGTTGAGATCAGTTGAAGTTAGAATCACACCTTGTTTAGCATTATAAGGTGTGAAAGTAACTGCTCCACCTTTCTTTACTTCAAGCTTCTCTTGAACAACATAAAGAGGGCATGTGTTATTGTTGCTGTTGAGGTTGCTTACATTTGCAACAGCTAAACCACCACCATTGCCTCTAATGACTGGTAAAATGTAATATTTGACACCTGTTATCAGTTTCTTACCTGAGATGTCAAGAACTGGTTCAGGTGCTGCAATAGTTTTGCAAATGAAAGCTAAATAAATGATGCATAATGCTAAGATTGAAGCCTTCATGTTTGTTCTCTACAGAATAGAAGAAAAGATTAGATGAATGTGTTTTGTGTATTGATATGGAAAGAGTATGTCTCTATTTATAGGACATAAAAAGGAACATGAGTTTTGTGTGTTTTGGATCACTTTGCATAAGGGTGAGTGGAATGTTGACCATGAAAAAACAAAATCATTCTTAACATTTTATATCTAAATGATTGAAGTGAGAAAATGGTTCAATAAAGTCATCATTGTGCATTTGTATATTTTATACCGTCCACCCAACCTTGCAATGTGCAAGTGCTTTATGAGAGTTATTTAACACAAAGGAAAACGTTTTACATGTGATATATAAAAGTTTAAGCCATGTCCAAAGAAAATGGTGGTGGGCAAACAGTTGCAAGCAGTGCTATCCAGACAATACATGATAGCCCATAAGCTTTACGTGTACATGTCAGCCATGATTATTGACTAGGTGGTCGACAAAAATATTAGCTGTCAATACCAATATTTTAAGGGGAAATTGCATTCAATACTATGTGGTCCTTCAAGTATGACAAATTTGTCTTGTTAAAAAGCAAATTTTATTGAGTACAAGGAAGGAGATTGAGATCTTTTCCATTTAAAGAGACTTTAGGAGGTCATAAATGTAATTTTCCAATATTAAGATAATATAATAAGATAGTAGAATGAGATTTATATGGTATATTGTTTCTGTTGATAATGATTTAAGGAATAAATTGTCACCTTTAACTTTTTAACAAATTAACTTTTTAATCCATGTCTTTTTAACAAATTATCTTTTTAATCCATGTTAACTTTGTTATGCATAGTCGGTTCCAAGTCCGGATAAAATGAGAGAGTTGTATTAGGTTTTCGATAGTCAACGTAAAACTTTGTAGAATCTCTATGACATGGATCAACTACGAAATATTGTGAATGTTAGGTCGTTACCCGTAAGCAGCGCGCTATATGACTCAAGTACAGTGTCAAAAGTGCAAGAGCCGCTGCATCGCCGCCTGGATGCAGTGAAAAATAAGAAAGAGTTTTCACATTTTTTTTGAACAGGCGTGGGTAAAGAAGTTAGTTCATGAGAGTAGGATTTATTTTGAATCTTGGAATATAGGTACACTCTATGGAAAATCTATAGAAATAGTGGATACTATGGTTAGGAAGAAGAACAATTTCATGTGTCTACAAGAAACTAAGTAGACAAGTGAAAAGTAAAGAGAATTAGACAATTCGGAATTTAAGCTCTGGTAGATCAGAAAAGTTAGATCAAGAAATGGAGTGAGGATTATTGTAGACAAGGAGTGAAATAAGGATATTGTGGATGTGAAAAGAGCAGGAGATAGAATTGTAGCCTTGAAATTGATAGTGGAACAATACAACTTTAATGTTATTAGTGCTTATGCACCTTAGGTTGGGTCGTCAAAACACCTTAAGATAAAATTTTGGGAGGATTTTGAAGGAGTACTTCAAGATATACCCCAAGGAGAGAAGCTCTTTTTAGGAGGGGATCTAAATGGACATGTAGGAGCGTCGCAAGAGATTTTGAGGGCGCGCATGAGGGTATGACCCAGGGGAGTTAAATGCGGAGGGTAAATCCATCTTGGAGTTTTCGTCGATTTTTAATCTTACTATAGCTAATATATGGTTTAGAAAAAGAGAGGAGCATCTTATCACGTATAAGAGTGAGATGACATGTTTCCAGATATATTTCTTCCTTATTTGGAAGGCGGACATGAAGATTCTTTTGGACTGTAAATTTTTTATAGGAGATGCTTGACTATCCAACATAGAGTATTTAGTATACATGTAAGAATAAAGGGGAGAGCTAAGAGAAGAAGTCACATGGGAGCACCACGAATTAAGTGGTGGCATTTGAATGGTGAAAAGTAAGGAAGATTCCAACATAAGATCATAGAGGGAGGGTTTGAACAACCACGAGGAAGTGCAAATGATATGTTCAACAAGATGGCATAAGAGACTAGAAAAGTAGTTAAAGAGATGTTGGGAGAATCAAGGGATTTTGGATATAAGGGTAAAGAATCGTGGTTGTAGCATGTAAGTATTCTGAGTAAAGTTAGAGTTAAAAGAGATTGTTTTAAATGAATGATCTAGATGTAAAAATGCCGAAATTTGGGATAAGTATAAGAAATCTTAAAATGAAACTAAGAAGGCAGTGATTGAAACAAGAAATCAAACTTTTGATAGATTATACCATTTGTTGGAAACCAGGGAGAAAAATCTATATATATAAATCTATATATATATATATATATATATATATATATATATATATATATATATATATATATATATATATATATATATATATATATATATATATATATATATATATATATATATATATATATATATATATATATATATATATATATATATATATATATATATATATATATACTTGCTAAAGGAAGAGAAAGAAAGACAAGAGATTTGGTTCAAGTGAAGTGTGTCAAATATGAAGAAGACAATGTCTTTGTTCAAGAAAATGATATAAAAGGATACATGGAAGACATATTTCTACAATTTATTTTAGTAAAGTCGACATTAGAGAAGATGATCGAAACTATAATTATTACCGCCGAATTCAAAAATAAGAGGTAAAAGAAGCGTTGAAAAAAATGAGTAATAGTAAGGTGGTTGTGCCACACAACATACCAATTGAAGTGTTGAAAGTTCTGGGAGATAGAGGTATTGA